TGAATAAACGTGCATTAGTAATATTTTGCTCGATGCGCCCTATTGTGGCCTCAGAAGAAAAGTCAAAACCTTTTCTTCACCCTAACTGAAATTATGCATTTTAAATTCTAATATAATTCGAATTTTGATAATATTTAAGTACAAAATTCTAATTAAGTTTTTCAGCCATTTTGACAGCCCTACTGGTCTTTCACACGTTAGAGTTGAAAAAGACTCCAGAAATGGGCGTGTAAATCTGTGGAAAATGGGAGTGAAGAGGGGAGAAAACAACCAATAAATCACAGACCTACAACACACTCATTATACAGAAAAATAAATGTTAAAATATTTTAATTAGAGAGAATAAAGGCATAGTTACCGTATTGGCCCGAATATAAGACGACCCTGATTATAAGACGACCCCCCTTTTTCCAGATGTACCTTTTGGAAAAAGGCTTTTTAAAAACCAAATCTTGTTTTTTCTCAGTAAAACACATTTTGTCTTCAATTATTTTCATATTGCATATTTTTCCTATTTTAATTTTTGTTTTGAAAGTATGATAAAAACTGGTAAAATGTACCAACAAATCACATTTAAAAAATATACACTTCTTGATATACCATAAAAAAAACAAAAAACAGGTAGCCCATCTGAATTAGGACATTTAGGCTATCCATCTAATAGTAGCCTACCAAAATCTTATGAACAGTAGAAGTTAAATCTTACTGTAGTCGTCAAATCTTGGTACTGTCTTACGTTTTAAAATCACAAAGGGAGTTTGGTCCCAGCAGGCTAACCTGACAGGCACGACTCATGCAGCTGTAAGGTTTTCTGCTTCTTTTGTTTTTACTCGCGATCTTTACAACACCATTACATTACGTATTTCATGGCACACTCGTTTTATGCGGTTTTGGCGCCACCTATTGTTGTGGGTGTATTATTGACATGTCAAAGTCTAGACCCTGAATATAAGACGACCGCGTTTTTTCAGATGTATTTCCAAGAAAAAAACATCGTCTTATAGTCGGGTCAATACGGTATGTTGGGAAATTAAGAAATGTGCTGTGGCTAATTAGGAAATGCTGTAATACGGTCTTATTGTATCTGCAGTGTCTTCAAGAAATTTGTGGAAATTTCATGCAAAAAGACGGCGTAGATGTGCGAAAGCGAGCGAGAGTGTGTGTGCGTGTGCCATCCTCCCTGTCAGATTAAAAGGTCAATGTGTTTAGCTTTTCTGCGAGTCTTTGACTTCAACATTATACTGACACAAAAGCCTGACTGACCGCCAGAAAGGTTTTACATGAGAGAGAGAGAAACAGAGAATGACGGGCCTCTTTTTCAAAGAAAAACTCACACTAAAGCTCAAAGTGAGCACTGAGAGAGAGTCCTTTCACCGTTAAAGCAAATGCTAGTCAGACACGACTGGGTGGAAATCGCTTAACATTCATTTATACGCTATGAGCTGAACTGCTTCCGCATCAATGACACGATAGCTCACTTGCTCTGCTATTTGCTCGAACACTTTGAATAGGAACATGACGTAATTTTGGTCTAGAATCGAAGTACTACATGTCCGCCATCTAGTGGTAGGGAATACAAATGAGATATTACACCATATTAGGATCTACAGCCTATTTTATTAAGTATGACGTCTTGTCGCAATTTTGCGACTTTGGCACTTAGAGGGTTAAGACGTACAATTGATAAACGAACCGTGGGGCTTGTTCTGTACGAATAACGGATCAACTACGATCCGTTTAACCACTAGCAGCGAGTGTTGTTGTGCTGTTACTCATCGCAGCATTGAGCGCAGAAACCGCTCTGTCATGCGTGCTCTACGTGTTGTTATATATGTGACCCTGGACCACAAAACCAGTCTTAAGTCGCTGGGGTATATTTGTAGCAATAGCCAAAAATACATTGTATGTGTCAAAATTATTGATTTTTCTTTTATGCCAAAAAATAATTAGGATATTAAGTAAAGATCATGTTCCATGAAGATATTTTGTAAATTTCCTACCGTAAATATATCAAAACTTAATTTTTGATTAGTAATATGCATTGCTAAGAACTTCATTTGGACAACTTTAAAGATGATTTTCTCAATATTTAGATTTTTTTGCACCCTCAGATTCCAGATTTTCAAATAGTTGTATCTCGGCCAAATATTGTCCTATCCTAACAAACCATACATCAATGGAAAGCTTATTTATTCAGCTTTCAGATTATGTATAAATCTCAATTTCAAAAAACCTTATGACTGGTTTTGTTGTCCAGGGTCACATATTAAATATTGTTACGGTCTTGTTTTTACAGAGGTGAACTGACGGCTCGGAAACTCTTTCATGGAGTTTGAATTCTCTGCTGTAAGATAACCTCATGCATAATACAGCGCAGTGATTGGATCATAAGAGTTCGTTCTCATGAATAATACTGAGAAAAGCTCAGAAAACTGATGACGTAGACGCATACTCTCCAGCCACGGCAGCCAATCATCACCCCAAATTAACGCATATACCTCACTTTTCGTGACATTGGTTCAACTTAGCTTTTTGAACCAGAAGAACAAAATGGCTCCATAAAATGAAAAAATAATCACTTTTCCCTCAATAATAGACTTAATGAGTGCTATTGTTGTTTTTACTGATGTGCAACCTGTACATATGTTAACATCTCAAAAAATGTGTTTTAGGGCTTCATGACTAGGCCTGTCGCGATAGTCAATATATCGACTGGAAATGAGCACGATCATTTTTGGTGCCGCGATATATTGCGTCTAATTTGTTTTATTAAAAATTATTATATAGATTTTTTACATAAAAATTAATCTCGTCTGCTTTCTGTGGCGGAGGCGGGGCACAGGCAGCGTCTACACACACACACACACACACAGACACACACAGCGGCAGGTGAAGAGAAGGCATAAACCCATTGCATTATAAAGTGTTTTGTGACATTTACAGCCAGTTAAGAAGAACAAGTCCCAATGGACTTGGTGTCAAAGTCGCAATCTTTAGCTCCAGTGTGGGAAATTTCTTTGGCTTTAAGCCGAATGAGAGAGGAAAGCAAATTAATGTGAACGAGCAAGTATGCTGACTTTGTATAAAAACAGAGGCAACAAAACTAAACTAAAACATATCCATCCCATCCAGTTATTTAAGCTGGGAACAACAACCGCAGCTGGAGCTGCAGAGGTCAATTCAGTCAATTATCTTTTACATACAGATGCCTTTTCCCGGCAGTGAAAATATAAGCGCGTTTTATTTATTTAGGATATATTTTCTCACATTCCAAATCCAATGTCTAAATATTCTTAAGAATAAAAGGTTCTTTGTTTTTTTAAATAGTGTACTTGCATTATTATGCTATTATATTATCATACTGTCATTATATAATAAGTGGCATAAAATGGTCCTAAAATGACAATAATATAAATAATATAAATATAAATGTTGATGCAATATATCGCACAACAAAAAGTAGTTATCGTGACAGCCCTATTCATGACCCTTTAATCTCCGTCTGCTTCTGCAGGTCCAACCCACATGTCCATGCAGGGCCCCGGGCCCAACCAGACACCCAGCATACCCAGCGGCTCCATGAACATGCCACCCAGCAGCCATGGCACCATAGGGGCGTATAACCACACAGTGCCCTCCTCGCAGGGAATACAGTCACAGGGGCAGATGAACATGAGCCAGGGGCAGCCCATGGGCAACTACGGCCCTCGGCCCAACATAAACATACAGCCCAATCAGGGTACTCATCTCAAAACCATGTTTTAACAATAATATCAACTAGGGCTGGGTAAAAAATATCGATATCTCGATTTTAATCGATTCTCATTTTTACAAAATGATATCGATTCTTAAATCCCAAGAATCGATTAGTCTAGCCTGTTTTCAGTTAATGGACGGAACATTGAAGCGCACCTCCCATCCAATAAATCGCAATAAGCATTGTGCTTTGGTACTTTTAATATGAAACAAAGTCTCAGATTTCAGATTCTGTCCATTGTATTGCAGTATTCAAACAATAAATGCCGTTTTGGCGCTGTTTAATGGGGAGTGACAGATCGCTGGAGTGCCTCAGTTCAACAGACGCGGTAGAACTGATCATCTCCTCCACATTAATACCAGTTTCAGCTCAAAATAAACATGACTAAACATCCGAAGGTAAGTATAAAAGAAATCCGTATCTGTCTCATGTAATTGCTCAATCAGTGTTTCAGGCGCGCAAAGATGTCAATATAACAGCTTGTATGTCACGTAACGTCACATTTACCTCAGAAAAACATTCGGTGACCATAAACTCATTAATCAGATCGAAAAATAAACTGTAGAGAGGGGCATTTTGCTAAATGTATGCACCATATAATATATTCATTATAATTTTCACTGTTCTTCAATGTTTAATTTATATTTTTTATGACAGCCAAATGTTTATATTTAAAAAAAAAAAACGAATTGAAGTAGAAATATTATTATGTAGGCCTAATTGTAACTTTTTATTATTAAAAACGTCATTAAGTGTAATTTAGTTGTATAGCCTAATAAATCAGTCAGTTTTAACCTTCAATATTATAGTAATGTATTTTCTCTCATGTATTTTACAGCATTAGTTAAGATATTTTTTTTTCCTTGAGAAAATTTGGCATGTGTACCTGATATATATCCAAAATAATCGGTATTGAATCGAATCGAATCACAAACTTGTGAATGAGAATCGAATCGAATCGTGAACATTGTGTCAAAACCCAGCCCTAATATCAACCACATAATCAAAAAACCGGTTTGTAATGAGTGCTTGTGTTTTCTAGGGCCTATGATGCACCAGCAGGCTCCTTCCCAACAGTACAACATGGCCCCTTCTGCTGGCAGTGGGCAGCATTTCCAGGGGCAGCAGAACCCCATGGGCATAATGGGTCAAGGCAATCACGTGTTGGGACAAAGGCCCATGCCTCCCTACAGGCCACCACATCAAGGTATGCTGAAATATCTTGATAAAATATTGAGTCACTGAGTTTTTGGTTGTTTTAATGTCTGTTTGGTGTGTTTTCAGGACCTCCTCAGCAATATCCTGGTCAAGAGGAATACTACACGGAGCAATACAGCCATGGAGGACAGGGGGCGCCAGAGGGTAAGATGCATTCTCTTGCAAAATGATTTGTACTAGGGGTGGGACGATAAATTGATTCATGGATTGATTCTGTGGTTTTCCGGATGCGTCGCGATTCTCTCTCGAATCGATTCTGAGCTTAGTTTTGAACAGCGGATGGCACTGTGTGCTTTAAAAACAGCTGTACTCTGCTTGCTTCCAGTTCCCTACACACGCCACTTGAACCTAAAATAATCATTCATAAAGTTCGAAAAGTTTGAAGCGAATACATTCATCTTGCATCATAAAAAGCATAAAAGCCGAGGTGTAAGTACATTTAACCACTTACATTACTCAGCTGAATGCACAAGCACTCTTCTTCGTGAGCATTTGAGTGTGCGGTTAAAAACTAGCCTAGAGCGCCATCTGCTGTTAAAAACTAAGCTCAGATTCGCTTCCAGAGAGAATAACGATGCATTCGGAAAATTGCAGAATCGATCCACGAACTGATTTATCGTCCCAGCCCTAATTTGTACTGCTTCAGTATAGCACAAATAATCTTAACCAAATCATTCCTGTGGTTGGTGGGTAATGTTATGTCCATTTTGGGACAATATGATCTGCACCCTCTGCCGAGTAGGCCACTCCGGTCTAACCTTCAAGTTGGTTCACAAGTAAACTCTACAGAGTAGCTGCCTTTTAATTTAGGGCCCCGTAAAATTATACGATTATATATAAAATATTTTATTTTTACCTTCAATTCTATCATACAAAATGGTGTCTAATGAAATGAATAAATAAAATAAACAATTTTACAATCTTGCAGCAATCTTTATTCATTCTGCGACTAATTCAAACGCTTCTCACTGGATCTCGCAGCGCTGTGCAGTAACAGTGTTTTGCGAAATCAACTTTGGTTCCAGAGTAAAGCTGTTCTGAGCTCGGACCAGTTTGTTTTCGTCGTGGTCCGAGCTGATAAACGGTCCGCGATGCGCAGCTCAAACGAGTAGCAGGATTTTATTACGCTTTCGTTTCGTTTGCCATTTGATATTTCTCATATGCGACAGAAATGGCAACGCGAGTTGAACAACGCAATGGTCGCGCCAGTGCGACCGTGCACAAAATTTACTCGCACCGGCAGAAGAAATGGTCGCAAAATGCGACCCTGCTTTGTGTACAGCATTATCGGGGAAACGGCTATTTTACCGCTCCAAAAGCGGCACCTAGTGGCAAAGAATGAATTTGCGTTTTCATTCAGACCAATGCGAAAATCAACTGACGGTCAAGTTTTTCCAGGTCTGTGCGCACAACAAGTGGGCGGGCAATATGCTAATCATTCATGTTGATGTCAAAATGAAACTGCTTGGGATTAGTTTTAAAAACGACTTGTTTCAATGACTCAGTCGACTTTTTTTTTTGGAGAGTCAGTAACTTTATACACAGTGCACTTTCAGATTTAAAACCTTGCAGGATGTTTTCATTCACTTAGAGCTGTGTTACACACTGCATGAAAGGTAATTTTCAAAAATCCATAATAGGGGCAGTTTAATAAATTTTTCTCGATATGATATCAGTTATCGCCCAGACCTAGTTGTGCATGATGCAAACACTCTTAGCTGGAATTCCTGCAAACACACGGTTCATTTTACTTAGCAGGTAGCTTTGCTGATGTTTCATGAATTGCTTGTTCCTCTTCCTGTAGGAAGCGCACAGTATGGTCAGCAGCAAGAGGCATATCAGCAGGGTCCAGCGCAGCAGCAGCAGGCTTACCCACCGCAGCAGCAGTACACGGGACAGCAGGGATACCCCGGACAGCAGCAGGCCTATGGTATGAATTATACTGACCGATTCGGAAATCAATCATTGACGGCTGCATTTACTATCAAGTTCTGCTTCTGTGTGAATGTAGCCAAAAAAAGGAATTTTATCTCTCTGTCTGTGTGTGTACAGGTTTGGCTATATATGTGATGGCCACTATAGTGAAATACCATGACAGCGGATTTGTGAAGACATCTGTCCTCACTAGTTAGAAAGGTTCATAATGGTCCAGAAGATGTTTAACTTTAAGTCTAATGATGTACACATTTCTGACATGGCACAATTTGAACAGTTTGTGATCATAAGGTCTCTTAATCAGTTAACGGTCTACATCCCTAGTAGGGCTGGGAAAATAAATTCTGAGATTTTCCGAATGCATGGCGATTCTTTCTCGAGTCGATTCTGAGCTTAGTCTTGAACAGCAGATGGCGCTGCATGATTTAGAAACAGCCGTACGCTGCTCGTTTCCAAATCCTTACACACAATTGTACCTAAAATAATCATTCATAAAATTCGAAAAGGTTGAAGCGAATTACAAGGGTGTTCACAGTGGGCTGTTTACATTAATCTCGCGCCATAAAAGCATTCTGAGCCGAGGTGAAATTACAGACTCAGCCGAACGCACAAGCGCTCTTTAGCACTCTTCTTCATGAGCATTTGAGTGTTCAGATAAAAACTAGAGTAGAGCGCCATCTGCTGTTAAAATCTAAGCTCAGAATCGATTCCAGAGAGAATCGCGATGCATTCGGAAGATCTCAGAATCGATCCACAATTTGATTCTGCATCGATTTATCGTCGCAGCCCTAATCCCTAGTACGAATTTAGTTAGTAATCCAGTAAACCCATTAGTAAACACTCTTCCTTTTATACCAACAGGTCCGTCTCAGGGCACTCCAAGTCAGTACCCAAACTACCCCCAGAGTCAAGGGCAGCAGTATACAGCCTACAGACCGCCACAGCCCGGACCCCCACAAGGACAGCCGCAGCGCCCCTATGCTTTTGAGCAGGTGAGAAACCCTCCAGTCACTACAGAGCACTGCTGAGATACCTGTCGAAATCTGTGTTAATAGATTGTTTAAATGAGAATGGCATTTCTGTTAACTGCTGGTCTAAAGATCACCAATTTTGGAACTTTTTCTTCATGTGTCTCTGTTGAGCAGTTTTGAGCAGAACCATAAATTAAAGCCTAAAGAGGTATTAAATCACAGAAGAAAGTCTTTAATTTAAAAAGTCATAGCATTAAATGTTGCATGCCCTGCATCCTTAGTATTTTTTAAGACCAAGTAAAGAAAATTTAAGGAATAGACTGAATGGAATGTCAATATGGCCTCTAAATATAAAAACTGTATTTTTGTTTTGTTTTCCAATCCAAATATATAAACATCCTTAAATCAATATACATTTACTTGAAATCAAGCAAAAGTGAGTTCATGCTTAAGACCAAACATCCGAATTATGAAAATTTGTCTTCCCTTTGAATTAAGATGATTGTTCGAGGCCATTGGGAGATATTTGTTCTTGCTTTATTCATAAACTCACTTTATTTTGATTATTTCCTCATAAAACAAGACTTTTTTTATCTTGCCATTTTGCTTCCCAAGAAAATGTTAATTGAAGAATCTTTAGATAATTTGCTCTGGAAAGTTTTTTTTTTTTTTTTTTGGTAAAATGAGCTACTGTTACAAAGTTACATTTTCAATCTTTGAAACATTGCTGTCAAACTTTGAAGACATTTACATTTAGAGACCATATTGACATTCCATTTAGTTTATTCCTTAAATTTTCTTTACCTTGTCTTACAGAGGCCTTACAAAAATTTACCTTCATAAAACCTGCAGAAACCCTGGTTGAATCATTGTGGCTGTACTCATCAGCTCCTTTTCAAACATTTGTTTCTCACTGTCTTGGAATCATTAAATGAGACGATTAAATGTCACTTTTAATCTGTAATATTTCCATCTTTAAAAGAAATGGTAATGGAAACTAATGTTTTTGAGTGTGACATGACTTTTTTTTTATCCTTCAGTTAACACAATGTCAGTTGTACTAGTTGTGTTGTAGCACAGGCTTACAGTGACTTTGTATCTTTCTTCACAGGGGCAGTATAGCAACTACCAGCAGTAGATGACGAGCATTTGACTTCCCACCCTAGCATTTCCAGTTTGGAGCTGTGTGTGATCTGATGAAGGGCTACTGCGCTCTCTAAATCTCTATACATCACCTATGAAGAGATGAATCTTCCCTGCTAATGTAGACTGAACTCTTCATTCGGCCACAAGCATTTGAACAAACCGATCAACGATTGGCTCGATTCTCAGCACAGGTGATATAATTGTGAAACGTCTATAAAACTCATTTGACAAAAAAGGGAAAGCGTACACATTAAGAATTTCCTGTCAACTCATATGTGCATTTTCGAGTTTAACAGAGAAGCAATTTCACAGCAGCAATGCCTTAAGTGAAACGGCTGCCTTATTTACAGCAACTTACGAAATCAGTGAAAATACAGAAACACACACAGCGGTGGAACGTGTTTTGTTTTTCTAATAAAATTCATTGTGCGTTGTTTGTTTTTTTTACATTTTCTCCTCTCCTGCAAATGTCAGAGAAGCAATAATGCTGAGGTGCGAATGAAGGCTAGTGGAGAGGTGCAAAATGGTTTTCAGGTTCAAAACAATGCTAAGATGTATAAATGTATTTTATGCTTTATCAAATAGAGCTCAGATTGAGTCCACGTGTTGAACAGTAGCTCAAAGTGTCGTCCCGTGTGCTTATTGACTGTATTGAATTTTCTTTCGTTTTTGAAGGTGGGACGTTCCATTTTAAAATGACATGTATGGCTTGCTGAAATTTGATTAAACCGATCTGGTACTGTAGTGGGTTGTATTTCAATCATGGTCTTCAAACCTGGTATCAATTAAGCAAATATCTTGTAGGGGGACTGGGGATGCTGTAGCGCAGGAGTGCAGGAGTGCCCAATCCTGCTCCTGGAGATCTACCTTCCTGCAAAGTTCAGCTCCAAACCCTGATCAAACACAACTGAACCAACTAATCGGGTAGATGGGTAGATCTCCAGGAACAAGATTGTGCAGCCCTGCTCTACCCCATCCTGTATCCCAACAAGACCTTGGCTCCATCACATGCCTGTTGAGAAATAATGGTTCAGTCAAAAGGTACTTTGATACTAAAGCGCAGTCAAAGGCGCAACACTTGGACAAAACCCACAATAGTTTGTCCAGCCATTCCCAGGAATCTGCATAACTCCCTGCAATTGGTAGGAATTGGAAATACACAAATGGGCTACATTTTTGCTTCAATTGGACAAACCTGTCCATTTTCCACTACTTTGCCCAAGGTAGGTGAATTTAGCCTTGAACTCGCAGATTTCTAGTTAAAGAGGCCTTTGTCCGACTCCCTTTTTTGTCTCAAAATCTGCGTCCCAATTCAAAGGCTGCATCCTTCGAAGACTGCATTCGAAGGGCGATTGCATCACCGCGGTGCGACCAAAGGCTAGTGATGTTATGTTCAACACGGAAGCTCCAAAGCTTGTTTAAAAAAACTATACATTTCATATTGAAGCACTGTATCGGAGCTTGATTCGTTTTGCCAAAAGCACATGATCTATGACGTCCGAAGCTTCGTTCGCCTGAAAACCATGTGACTGCTTCAGTATCTGGTTCAAATGAAGCGAACCTCAGCGCTGTTTCCTTTATGTTATAGTACATTAATGCAGACCTGCCAACCTGTACGCATTTTGTGTAGCGTGTATGCATTTTGACCTTAAAGTACGCTGGTACGATTTGTCACATTGTCATTGTATACTTACCGACTTTGTAAATAGTGACAACGGAAAACTGGCCATCATACACTAAACGACTGAGGATCATACACTACCAGACTTTAAAGTTGTTCCGATCACCACAAACTCCGAAAGGAGCGCCTTGTTGCTAGGAGACGCGTGACAAATGAAAACAATGTGTGTGTTCTAAAATCGGCTGAAAATCTCAAACATGGTTGATATCCTCCGACTCGATGGAATCAAAGGGTGCATCTCAATCAGCTCCCTTGTTCAGTAGTCAGGGCACAATGTGCAGTGAGCCAGGGTACTTACCAGTGACCATTTGTGTACACGATATACTGATTCACAAGCTAGGGAGCTGATTAAGATGCACCCAAAGTCTGAAGCTAAAAAATCTAAGTCTGTGACCATCATACACTACCTGATCTTTTATTAAATCTGTCAACTCAAATCTGCAGACTGGCTCTAACTTTTCAACTAGCGTCAATATCTCCAGACTGTAAATCGGCGGAAAATAGAGGCAAAAATCGTGTAGTGAATTCCAGGCTTTACTCAAATAATGTAATGTACCTTATGATACAAATGTGTGTGTGTATATATATATATATATA